TTACGGAGTATTAAATTTATAAATTTAATTTATTTCAAGGTGTAATAAAAAATTAGTGATATGAATAGAGTAAAGTAAAAAGAGGAGAAAATTAGAAAAAATGACACTAAGTAATTAAAAAGATTCGATGAAAAAGTTTGTTTATTTAAAGAAGTCAAATTGTGAATGTCCTCCTAAAGATGACAACTCAGAGAAGAGAATGATTTAGCTACGGAAAAATGATTCAGAATGAACACATCATTGAAGGGGAATGCTGGAATTGAAAATAATAGAGTTAATTTCTAAAATAAGACTAAAACATTGATAAAGTGTACAAATAAGACTATTAATACTACGGAGTATAGTATTTTTGTTTTAGACAGAAGATGGTCTTGCAATTTTTTGTAAATGTTTTGAAATATTATTATTGTTATGCATGTTAGTTTAGAGGAAAAAAAGTTTTAGATTTTTTTTAAAATTGGGCCCGTTTTAACGTTTCGCCCCTAGGCCCTCAAACATACCGGGCCGCCCCTGACGAGAAACGTCATTTCTAGAAAATATAGGATACGAAATGTGGGGGAAACACGTAAATATTAAAAAATATAAGGATATATTTGTAAATATTTTATCACATATGTACACAGATTTTTTTCATTTATATATATATATATATATATATATATATATATATATATATATATATATATATATATATATGTATATATATATATAGGGAACTCTTCCGGTAAGGTATACCTTACCGGAGCCTCCGTGCGGCCTCCACGTTTTGAGGGCCTTCCCGGTGGAATTTTTCGATGAAATTTTTTGAGCATGTTCTTCATCAAGTCTAGTACATCCATACCAAATTTCAGCAAACAATTCAATCGGAAAGACAGTCAAATGATTTTTGGAAGATAACTGCACTTTTTATATACATATAAAACGCAGTTATCGTCCAAAAATCGTTTGGCTGCGTTCCCGATTGAATTTTTTGCTGGAATTTGGTGTGGATGTACTAGGCTTGATGAAGAACATGCTCAAAAAATTTCATTGAAAAATTCCACCGGGAAGGTCCTCAAAACGTGGAGGCCGCACGGCGGCTCCGGTAAGGTATACCTTACCGGAAAGATTTCCTATATATATATATATATGCACATGATATTTTCGTATAACTTGCTTAATAGCCCGATAATACAAAGAAATAATTACCCTAGGTATGACTAAAACTTCTTCACTTTCTCAATCTATGATCTAACTAGTTTTTATACCAAAATAATATTAAAATTCATAATAATTAATTAAAATTCGGAATAAATAAATAAATAAATAATTTAGGTGGACAAATATATCCTTTAAGTTATATGTATAAAACCCCAAGTTCCTACTCCTTTTTTCAACCCTAGCCTCCATTCTCCCACCTCCATAGGTCCACTTGCTTGTGTAGCTGCACGCCACTGCCGCCGCCGACCCATGCTCGACGTCTGCCGCCTCCACCCCATGGCCTGCTGTCTGCCGCCGCTCCATGGCCTGCTGTCCGTCGCCGTCCAGGATCGGAGCACGACCGCCGGTCACATGTGCATCCGTTGCTTGCTTGCCCGGCCATCCTAGTCCCACGATTGCTCGCTGCAGCCACCACTATGACCACCAGCCCCTGCCGCCGTCTCGGTCCATGCGCGCCGCCGCCCAGCCGCCCACCTCTGTCCCATGTGCCTACCTTAACCTCCGGAGTGTTGCCAAAACTTAGCAAGGAGGATGGAGAGTGCGGAGGTGATGAATTTCGGTTACGTGAGGAATTAATGCGAGCTGGAGTTTTTGTGAACGACGATGGGTTTGTGCTTTTAGCAACTTGGTGAGGCAGGCAGTAAATAGGGTTTGTAGCAACTTGGTGATTGAAGTGCGGCGCTGCTTATCTTTTCTTTTCTATTTTTGCTTTTCAATTTCATTTTTTCTATTACGTTTTAGAAATTAGAACTTTCTAAAACTAGGGTTTGTGGGCATTAAATATTAGCATTGGACATTGGCAGTGAATATGATCGTGAATATGGCAATATATATGTTGTACATGTCAGTAAATAAATGTATTAATGAAGTTTATTGTGCAGTGATTATGACCGATAGTGCAGTAAAACATAACAGTAATTTCACCATGAAACACAATATACTTAATGAGACGTAAAATAATAAAAGTATTAAATCTAAAAAACAAAAAATAAAAACAAAAACAAATTCCTCAAGTGAATGAGAAGATAATTAATTTTGCGGAAGTGCAGTGATTATTACCGGATGTGCAATAAAGACGTGCATTAATTTTCTGCATTAACGGCAATATAAAATGCAATAATTTTATTGAACGAAATTAGTGCTAAATGCATATATTTTAAACAAGGGTATTTTCGCCATTCAACATTTAAATATAAACGATTTTTCTATTTGTTTTTGGATTTTCGGTCATGCAACGGTATAAAAACTAGTTAGATCATAAATTGAGAAACTCATTGAGTTTTAGTCATATCCCGGTAAATTTCCTTAATACAAACATTTTACATGGTCAAATTTAGAATTAATTACATAGTACTACGAAGTATAATTGGTAGATGCTCAAATTATATAGAAGTATAATTTAGAATGCAATTCATCATTGGTAGCAATGCATTGCGTTATGACATGCCACAATGTAGCTACGAAGAAATAGCACAAAAAATCACTATTTTTTTCAAAAGACACTATTTTTCATCATAGGACCTCTTAAAAAGGAAGAAAAGTTGAAAATTCAGGGTTTCCGAAACGCTAATTATTTAGAGAAACAGGTTTTCCAATTCTTCTTAATTACGGAAATGGCCCCGAAACAGGAATTAGAAGTTTCCGAGTTTCCGATACGCTTCCGAGTTTCGGAAACGGGGAAACGTGAGCATGAGAGAGTTTCCGTGTTTCATACTTTCATAGTTAGGGTCTGTTTGCAACCCATTAAAAAAGTGCTTTTAACTTTTTTTTAAGAAAAAAACACTTATTTTACCAAACACTACCAACTTTTACTTTCTCGGCTTCCGTGTAGAATCTACTTTTTACTTTTTCTATTACACAAAAAACACTTTTTTTTACCAAACACTACCAACTTTTATTACAAATCACTTTTGAGTTAATTCCCTATCTAGGAGTAAAATAAAACAAAAGTGCAAAACTAGGACTTCAATAATTCCTATAGTTTCATAGGAGTAAAAAAGAAAGGATTGACAAAAGTACCCTTAATGAATGAACGCCCTAACATTTTTTTATTAAAAATATAAAATACAATACACAATAATGGATTGTTCGGTTCCCTCACACCCACCCCAGCCAGAATGTATCGCTCACACCACACAACACCAGCCACCACGGAGAGTCGGCGGCGGCAGCTGCCGCAGTCGCCGCAGGCGTCCGCCGCAAGTCGCCACAGGCGTCCGCCACCTGCGTCCGCCGCCAGTCGCCGCAGGCGTCCGCCGCCAGTCGCCGCCTGCAGATGCCGCCAGTTGCCACCAGAACTACAATCTCCATCGATGTTGCCGCCTCCGCCAGCGTCGCATTTGTCAGATGCCTACTCCGCTAGTCACCTCCATTATAGCCGGTCGTGGACGCCACCATCTGCATCACTGCCGCCAGATTCCACCACTGCTCTCAGATCTGGACACAGTGTTTAAAAAATGTCATCTGACCATTTGAGATACCATTTTAATGAGATTTACATGAATTTTATTGCATTTTGACATTTCATGATAGTATAAATATTGAATTTGTAAGGAAACAATATTGCCATCTCTACGGATTTAGTGCCTTACAAATGGCATTATGTGCAAAAAAAACATTTTTATATATGAAAAAATATGGCAATATTGGTATTGTTTTTATCATATAATGCCATAAAATGGCATTAAGTTTCAAAATAATAATTTCACCTAGAAAACATGGCATTAATAGTATTATACGTAGTATTTGCCAAGGAGTAAAATTTTCATTTTAATGCCATATAGTTTTTTTATATATGAAAAAATAACATTTTTATATATGAAAAAATATGGCAATATTGGTATTGTTTTTATCATATAATGCCATAAAATGGCATTAAGTTTCAAAATAATAATTTCACCTAGAAAACATGGCATTAATAGTATTATATTTGTCAAGGAGTAAAATTTTCATTTTAATGCCATATAGTTTTTTTATTGTCTTTAATGTCATATAGTTAACAGTGATTATGAAAATTTAGAATTTAAATTTTAAAACTAATTTTCAGAATTAAAAAAAATAAAAAATTAATTGACATGAATGTAAAATATTATTAAGTCAATGTAAAAGATAAAATAAAAAGTTAAAAGAACAAAATGGCAAAAGAAAAAATTGAAAGAGAATTAACAAAGGAGAAGGAAGCAAACAAAGTTTGATAGATTCGGATCTCAAAAGGAATAGAAAGAGAAACAAAAATCAATTCAATATTTGGATCTGGAAAGGAAAAAAAGAGAACGAAGTGAAAGATCTGTCATCGAGCAAAGCAAAAGATGGGATAAAAGGGGGGAGAAGGAGAAGGAGAAGGAGAAGGAGAAGGAGGAGAGGAAGAGGAAGAGAGAAGAAGATCAGAACTCACCTATGATAAGCTGCCGATTTTGGAGTTGAGTTCGCCACCGGCCCGGTGGGGAGTACTTCCTCTAGGTAAGAAATCCAGAGAAAAGAGAAGCATAATTTTGTAAAAATAGAGATAGAGAAAAACTAATGGAGATAGAGAAAAGAAAAATGTCAGATGAAAGGAGAGACCCATGTGACCATGTGTTTGATGTGTGTGAGCAGTGCGTGACAGCTAATGTGGAAGGAAGATATTGAAAAGGATGGACTGGCCCATGTGTGTGAGGAGTAGTACGTGACAACTAATGCGGGAGGGTAAATTTGGTAAAAGAAACGGATGGTCAACAAGAAACTCCTATTTAGGGAATAAATTAACAATAACTCCTACTTTGGAACTTTCTCATTATTTTAATCCTATTTAGGGTAATAACTTATCACTTTTTTCTCAAAAGTGCATAAATAGGCATACCCACCCAGCTCATCGGGAATTAACTGGCTCATCGTTCTCCGTCACGGGCATTGAGAAATTAACAGATCGGTGATGCGCGCTGCTCGATGTTTAATAATTAATTAACTACTCTCATGCATGCCGCATGATGCATTATATTGTCGCATGGACATACATAGATCGATCATAATGAAACCACACACATATATCATTAAATCTATGTATGTATACATGGATGCCTTATTAGCCGCCTAGTATCCATTGATGAAACCACAGGAATATATCATTAAATCTACCTAAGTACCTAGCTGCTAGTTTCTTGATTCATCCGGCCATGTCGGGGACGTTGAGTTTGAAGCTTTTCATTGACGAAAAGGCCGGAAAAGTCATCTTTGCGGAGGCAGACAAATCCTTCGTTGACTTCGTGGTCAACATCCTCTCCCTCCCTCTTGCAGCTGTTTCCAAGCTTCTCAAATATGAGACCGGCGGTGGATCCCTCGGAATACTCCACAAAAGCGTCGTGAACCTTTTGAAAAAAGAAGATTCATTATTGTCCACTTCAATGCCTTTTCTCTTGACCGGCGACTTGTTTTCCGGCAACAAATCGTACCATTGTCCCCGTTGTGGACCTTGTGGTGGTCTGATTTTTCCCAAGGGGAGTGCTACGAATCAGGCCGAAGCAATGGAGTCTGGATTTGTGAAGGAGGGGATGACGTATATGGTGTCGGATGACTTGGAGGTGAAGCCGCTCTCTACTGTTAACATCATCAATCTACTGAGTTCCTGCAATATTATGAACATTGCTTCACTTGAGGTCAAGGATGTTACTTTTGGAAGTGATCAGGTAATTAAGGAGTACTATTTTTGGTCTTTTGAGTTGCTTTTTATGAACATTTTCTAAAGGCTGTTCTTTTTTTTGCACTTTTAGTGGGTTTTTTCATCACACATTCAAAAGATGAATTAGTTATTAGGACAAAAAAAAATCACATGAAGTATAAAATTTATCTAAAACAATTCTTTACGTCGGTCGAGTACGCGATCAGCCTACTTCCAAAGTACGTATGTATAAAGAAAAAACAAACCATTGATTGAGCTTTTGGCCTAGTTGAATAGCAATTCTTGACCAGAGGCACGATAGAGTGAAATTATATATTCCATCCATTCATCAAAACTTGGTTACGTTAATTAACGAGTCAGAATAATAAAGTAAACATTACTTGGTTGAATTTTCTTTATAGAAAAATTGTAGAAACCGCGAATTATTAAATGGAAAGACAAAGTGTTAAGGAGTACGTACAATTCTCGCCTAGGTGAGAATAGGCATTAGGCGCTTATTAAACACCTGGCATGCCCATTATGCATGGAAAAAGGCGTGGGGATAGTTAGGCATATAATTTAGGCCGTCATCAGCCTTTTGCTTGCCATAAAGACAGCCCCCAAATATATTGCTAACGGTATGTTTGGGAGTTCGAAGGAAAGGAAGAGGAAGGTCTTGAAGGTTAGTCGTTGGAACCGAAGAAGAGGAAAAGAGATGGAAACCCATCTTCTTGTTTGGGAGTATCAAGTTTCAAAGGATAAAAATTTTGGATGAATTATAATAAAAATAACTTCACATACATGATAGATTCAAATAATTGTGTTTATATTTATTTAAAATTGAGTTAATATTGTTATTTAATTCGATATCTTCAAAATCTCCCAATTTGGGGAAATTTGAAAATTGAGTATTTGAATGGTTTTGGATATGTCACACATGTCCATTGAATATTTCACCTGATAGCCATTAGTACCTGATAGGAGATGTTCACCTAAGGTAGGCCTAAAACTTAAAAGTTTTTAAGTTTCATTTGAAGTACTTCCATTTTAAGTTCCATTTTAGGCCTCTTTCATTTGAAGTACTTCCAGGTTGAATATTTTTATGAAATTTTGTGAGCATATTCTCAATGAAGTTCTGATTATCTCTACCAAATTTCAGATTAAAATTCAAATAAGAAGTCAACTAAATAAATTATTAAATAAAACTGCATTTTATCTATATAAAAAACTGCACAATATTCAATAATTTATTTATTTGACTTCTGCATTAAATTTTTAACTGAAATTTGGTAGGCATAGTGTACCCTTTATTGAGAATATGCTCTCAAAATTTCATCAAAAAATTCAAACCGCAAGCACCTCAAATGAAAGAGGTCTAAAACTTCAAGTTTTAGGCCTCCCATAGAAGAACACTACCCCTACTACCAAGGGATATAAATAAGATGATTTACGTGATGTGCTATAGTTAAGTGAAAAATTATATTTGTACACAAAATTAATAAATAAATTATACACACTCCAACGTGCTTACATTTAGGCTATGTTTGACACAACGAGCTGGACCTGAAGGCTAATGTCTGAATTGGGGACAATTGTCTCAATCATAAACTATTGTCTGTAGCTGAAATTTGAAGTGCTGGATTTGAATTGCTAGCTGAATTAAGTAAACCTGTTTGGCAAAAAGAGTTGAAAAGTGTCGCATAATGTGAAATTACATTAAAGGCCATATGATTTATTTATTAATAGAATAAAATATTTTTATATATGATAATGTTTTTTATATTTTTAAGTCTTTAAAAATATAATATTTTATATGAGATAAATTAAATTAATATTATGGAGTACCAAGAAAAATATGTTCATTTAGTCAACAACAACAAAACTGCGCATGAACAACACAATTATCTTTCACTAATAAATGCAGAAAAACCGTCTCGAAAATATTAAACCTAAAATTGTGGATTATTAACTTACATTAGCATTATAGTCTATGTCTGTTCGAATACTAATTGGGGGCAAAATAATTGAAAATGGACCAGGAAAAAATAATACAGAGTAATAAAATAGTATCGATTTAGAGGGTGTTGAATTGGTAAATAGTATTTCAGGCAAAAAATGATGCTTTGACTATTTTTAGTGTTTTCAATAAGTGAAAAAGTTGCTTGGTAAACAGTTGTTCGACACTAACGTTTTTGGACAGAAACGCTGAAATGAAAACACTGCAAATTGAAGATTTTTGGATTAGCGTTTTGAAATATGGTGTTTTCTACTAATTATAATATTATATGCCCAAACAACTAAGTTATCAAACATCTTCTCACAACTTGCTAACTTATTTCGCTACAAACCCGCTGACTGAATCCGCTATTAACAACTCACTAATATAACGCGCTATTCGCTAAACGCCAAATACGCTCTTAATATTACAATAGCAAAAGTTCTAACAAAGTACATCACAACTATTCGTTCTGAGTTTTCATCGAAAGAGATTCATTATAGTTTCATTTGTAACCATTTAAAACAAACCTCTTTTAATAATAAAACAAATTAGATAATCATTAAAAACTTACCACCAACTTAAGAACCCTTCATTTACAAACATTGTAGCATGGAAACTCTCGAAAAAGAGTACGTTTCCCGTTTCGAAAACTCTCGGAAACTCTTTGGAAACACTCTAAATAAGCCTTTTTTTGAGCAAAGTTGACGTTTCCCGTTTCCCATTTCCTCATGATTTTCACGTTTTCGTGCGACATAGTTTACAAATGCATCATTCCCAACACAGTTTTGAAAGTGGTCACTAAACAAGTAACATTTGAAACAGAAGGCTTTATCATTTTTTATACTACACGAGATTTTGTAACCAATTAGGATATTGATCAAATCATTTGGAGTTAAAGCGTCTTAAAGTTTTCCAGATCTTTTTTGAATATGTTAATATACATTATTTAACCATTGAAAATAACATTGTATTATTTGCTTTTAGAAATTGTATCTTACTAAATGACATTTTTTATTATCTTACATTTAGGTAAATTTATAATCCTATAAAAACTAATAACGTTATCATTAATAACATTATCAAATATTTATGTTTATATAAAAAATAAAAATTAGTGTATGGCCTTTAGCAAGTAAATAGCTCAACTTACACAATCAAACACATACAGATAACCTACCTAGGAGTAATTGAGTAAACAACCAAACTAATTACATAGACCATTAGATGAACATTCAAATTGATTTATTGATCAACGAATTGAAAATAAAGCGAACAAGAGAACATATGTGCAGCTCATCTATGGTGGGCAGGATCTTGACTAGCATAGTCACATGGTTCGCGGTACGGTTCGATACGGGAACGAGGAATGGGAACGCGGTACGCTAGATCTAGCGTATCCGATACGGAGGGGGGTAGGTTCATTTCGGTACGCGTTCGGTACGATGTACCATATGTTCGGTACGCTGTACCTTATATTTTGGTACTATAATAAAACTATAAAACTGAATTATAGAATACAGATTTCAACATTGAACAAAAACAAATTTCATAACATGATTTCATAACATTAAGCAAAAGCAAAAACATTAATATTCAGAAACATTTTAAGCAAAACAGAAAAATAGTACTATAATCATTGATTTAAAGTTCAACTTCAAACAAAAAAGTACATGTCTAATCAACTCGAGGTCTCTTTCCTCTCCCCTTGTCCTCGTCTTCATCTTCAAGATTCTCCCAAGCCATGTCTTCGAGTCTTGAACTTGAGCCTTCTATGTATGTGCTCTCGGGATTGATGTCCCAATATTTGTGTGGACCGGCTTTATATGATTCTGAAAACCGTGACTGGAGTCGAATGTTGGAGTGAATGAAAACCAATTTGTCGGCTCTTTTGCAATTCAACCGGTTTCTCTTCACACTGTGAATGTAAGAATATGTACTCCAATTTCTTTCGGCCGAAGAGCTGCTAATCGGTTGTGAAAGCACCTTCTTTGCTACTTCGGCTAATTCCGGTGTTTCGGCTCCATAGGTTGACCACCAATCAATTGCATCCATTGTCATAGAATCCGCTTGTGTTGCCACCATTGAATAGATCCCCTTCTTCATATGGAATGTAGCAAATTGCTCTCGTAATAGCCTTTCCTCTTCGGGACTTTCTGCAATTCTTTTGAAAGCTTCCATAACACCAAGCACGACCTCTTTATCTTGATTCAGTGCTTTTCTTGCAATACCACCCGGAGCCAATTTTCAAGATAGAATTTATCATAAAACCTTGGGTTTAATGCAAACCCCAAACAGTGAAGTGGGATTGTCATCTTCTCCCATCTAGCTACAATTATTTTCTCAATATCCGGGTAATAGCAAGAATATACATTATCCACCATAATGTCCTTTATCTCCCCCAACATATTATCCATTCTTTCATATATTTCACCCATTTTTGGACCATCACCATCACAAAACTTGATAAGTAGAAAAATAGGCTTAGTAATTTTCAAAACATTCCTCACATCATCCCAAAACTCATCACTCTTAATGGTTTCAGCAACATTAGCACCATTAATTCTTGCATTTTCATCTCCATTTCTCACCCATTCCCTCCAAGAATTGCAAAAAATAGTTGAGGCAAGAGCCTCTCTACAATCCATCACCCTTTTTAGCAAAATGTAATGCGATGCAAACCGGGTTTTTGCAACCTTTAGCAACTCTAACTTTGAGTTTTCACGAAAGATAGCTAAAGCATGGGTATGGTTAATAAAATACTTAACTATTTCCTTGCCTTTTCTATACGTATTCCGTAACCATTGGAGTTCTTTTGCCATGTCTTTGAAAATTAAATTCAAAGTGTGTACGCAACATGGAGACCAAAAGATATGCTTGTGTACCTTCTCAATCTCTCGCCCGGCTGCCTTATAATTAGCTGCATTATCGGTGACAACTTGCAGCACATTACTTGGTCCAACCGTGTCAATACCTCCAAGAAGAAATTTAGAAATTTCTACTCCAGATTTCTCAACCCCAGAAAAATCTTC